AACATATGCAAGTGGAAATTCTGGAGCTGAGATCTGACTTGAACCACCTTTCTGGTGTTTCCTTTTCCTTGTTTTTGAAGTCTCTGTTGTGGTTTTCTCCTGGCACCCAAAAAATTAGAACTCTTAGAAGATATGAAAAATTAAAATTCTTAGAAGATGTAACAAATCAGAATTCTTTACCTTGAAACAGCCTCTAGCATTGTGGTTTTCACCACTACAATTATTGTATGTCTTCACAACTCCCTTTGTTGAGTAACTCTACTTCCCAATCCTCTTCCTTGCTTAATTTGGTTCCCTGGTTCTCTTCACTCTAGGTCTGCCAACATTTTTGGAAGCATCAGGAGGTTCCATTGCCTGATCTGGTTCTACTTTCCAAAAACAAATTTCCCTAATTGGCTAGAGCTTGTGATTGTAAGTCAATAAATATACTTTTTTGCTATAGTACCAGTGGATTTATGACAATGGCTCATCCTACCAAAGTAAAAATATGTTAGTAATTAGATAACATTAGAATAATTCTGTGAAAGATAGTTGTGGCTCATACATTTTCATACAATATAGCCTTGATTGCATGGGGGCATGGGATACCAGATAATTTCCACACTCTACATATGCATCTTTTCTTTTTAAGATCCACATTATATCTATCATCACCTATACTAATTTTATATTTAAAGTCACCATTAAACTCAACCTTGCAGTAATGTGTTATTGCCCTATAGTCATTATACAGCTTCAAAGCATATAGACTGAAGTCACCATTCCATTTACTAATGTCATCTCCATTTGTAGCCAACAAATTCATAACTTTTATCCTTATCTCCTCTAACATCTTGATGATTTGCATATGTCTTGTTTTCAGAATCAATGCATTAGTGAAATTGTTGTCAACCATCATGTTTTTACACTGAGTACCAAAATATGCTCTGCACCAAGCTTGTGGTGGATAATTCAATAAGTCTTTAGCAACAGCACCATCATCAGATATCTCTCCCAACTTGGTAAGTTGATATTTGAAATCTTCTTCATAATTGCTCCAAGCACTCTACCATAAAAGTTTCTTCATCTGTCCAATTCTCCATTTTTTCCTACCAATTAGCTTCAATATATCTCACACAAAACCTGTGGTGAGCATTAGAAAATACATTCCTCACAGCATAAAGTAAACCCTATTGACAAAAGAAACATAAATGTGAGAAAGAAAACTAGACAAAATAGAATAAGAAAATAAATAAAAGATGACAGTAATACCTTTTGCATATCTGAGATGAAAGTAACTCCAAGACCATCATTTAGATCCAAAGAAGCCTCAGAAGCTCAAAAAACTATCCCCAAGTTCTAGCATTTTCCTTGTCTACCACAGCCCATGCAAGTGGGTAAAAATGATTCATGCTATCTTGACCAATAGCCACTAGCAACTGGCCCTTATATCTCCCCTTAAGAAAAGTACCATCCAGCCCAATCAGTGGTCTCAAGCCATCTTTCCAACCCATCTTCAATGCATTGAAGCATATATACATCCTTAAGAACTTTCTTTTTCCTTCTTCAAGGGCATCTTTAGAAATATTAATTACAACATCAGTGTCAGGATTAGATTATCTAAGTTCTTGCCCATAGGTATCAAGTTTCTTGTAGTCATCAACAAAACTGCCCTCTAACTTCTTAAGTGTCAAATTCTTGGCCCTTTTAAGCTTAGACATTGACACATTTAATTCAAACTCAGTCTCTAAATCATCTTTCATTTCCTTTAGGCTATACTGAGGATTATACTACACTTTTCTCTTAAATAGGTGTGCTAATGTATTTTGATCGGTCATAGGATTTTTGAAGCAAGAATCACATGAATGGACATCTTTCCATGTCTTCATTTGATAGTTATCACTATTGCCATCCTGTGAGATATAACATCTAAATGGACAACCAGTAGCACACTTATTGTTAGCCCTAGTTGAATAAGTTTTGATCACCTGCAAGCCTCTTCTATTAGCCAATGCATAGAAGTTTATTGTCCTTCTAGCTTCTTCAATATCCTTAAATGTAATACTCCAGCTACTTAAAATGTTATAACCTCTCAGTTACAACCCTCTTTATTTCTTTACTAATAGCTTCAAGTTCTGCAGAACCTTCTGAATCATCAAAAATACCACCACCCAAACTACTTTCACATTCAGAAGCTGCATCAATGTCTACAGAATATTTCTCTTTATGATGAATAATATTTTGACCAAACACCCTAGCTTCAAACTCATCCACATCAAAAAAGTTAATCACATTGAACTCTTTAGAGAATAAGTACTGAAGAGTCCTCATACCATCATCATCAGTTACTAGATAGTACCTCCCCGAAGGTCCAGTCACTAAAAGTTGCTCAACTGAGCTAAATCCTAAATTTTTGGTAAATTCTTTACAAAGACTTTTATAGTTGACAAGGTAAGAATCATAACCAGACAAAGTGTACACATGCTTCTGATCATACATTATTTCAGGTGAAAATACCTAATTACTCCCATAGTGAAATACCATGTCCACTTTAGCAATCATCTTTTGTTTATATCACATGCAAAGGAATAAAAAGAGCGACAAGTGTGGGCCACAACAGTAAGTAGAAAGGCATAAGCATGACCACAACCAGTTCGAGTAAAAAAATTTAAAAACATACGGTAATGAAGGACTACAACCAGACAACAAAATCATCAATTACAACACATTATTCACTTTATTTTATTTTTTAGTAGGATAAAGTGCCAAAAAGATATCAATAAACAACAACCCCATTATAAGACAAGAAACCCTAACCCCACATATAAAATACAAACAAACGAATCTCTGACACACAAATAGAAAAAAGAGAACAAGACAGAAACATAACATACTTGTTAAAAGCATCCAGCCTTCGACTTATCTCTGGAAACGAAACCCTAGAGGTCCAGCTTTGTGGTATGGTCGGCTGAGAAGAAATTGGGATTTGGGAGAAGAAAGCGAGGTGAGAGAGTGGGGTAATAAAATAGAATTGGAGTTTATTAAAATAGGGTATTGGGTCGGGTTGATGTTTAGCACCAGATCTGGTGCTAAATATTTTATTAGTGAGGTCCGTCTAAAATATGGCATATATGAGCCACCTTATGCATGGCAAGTGCCGGATTGAGTCCACCTTTTAATGACAGGCAAATGTGCTTAATTTCGTATAGTTCACGGGCATAAATAAGCTTTTTTCATTGTTAATTTTTTATCTCATATCAAACATTCAATAAACATTCATTTATTAGATTTTTTTTACTATATGATTCATTTAGCAGATCTCAACAACAACAACAACAACAACAACAACAACAAACTCAGTTTAATTTTATAAATGAGATCTGGGAAAGGTAGTATGTACGCAAACCTTACCCCTATCTCATTTAGCATATCTTGTGGCCTAAAAATGAAGTCATGCTGTTGGTACTGCAGTCATTTTAGATCCAATAAGTTGACACTTCAATTCCATTTTTGTTGCACCTTTCATATCAACTTTCCAACTCCTTTTTTCTATTACATATTATTTTGTAACGGGAAGAAGAAAACTCATTCGAAATACAGAATTTAACATTCGATTTCAAGTTTACATATTTGGTAATCCAAATGGACAATATATAATGACAATTGACAAGATACAAACTTGTGATAATATGGTCCACAAAAATAGTAAATACTTATCTGCACTTGGTATTTATACCAAATTAATGAATATAAGATATGTATCTTTTACGCACACATTTATCATGTATTCAGCCATGATTAAGTGATATGTAATCTTAGTTTAATTATTAACTACTAAGGTTAAATTGTTTAATTTAATATAAATATTAGGGTAAATATTAACTGTCAAAGAAGGGGACCCCAAAGACTGTAATTCACATTATATTTTGCCATTTTGGGAGATTGATTGGTGACGTAGATTTAACATAATAAGCAGACAACAAAGAATAAAAAAAAGAAATTGAAGAAGACGTGGGAGAAAGAAAATAAAACCAATATTTTTTGGTAACTAAAATTAAAAACCAAATGTTTGTTCCTAGATTATGAATTCAAAGTCAACTAACTATTCGCATTGAGCTCTTCAAATTACACCGTTACACGTCCTTTAAATAACTCTTTGCTAATTCACCATTGTTTATATCTCCTTTATTTCATTATTTTTGTGCTAATAAAAAGTAATTGGTATATGACTTTTAATTAACAACTATAATTATGATATACTCCCTCCGTTTTAATTTATGTAAACTCATTTGACTGGGCACGGAGTTTAAGAAAGAGAAAAGACTTTTGAACTTGTGGTGTAAAATGAGACACATATATTTTGTGTGGCTATAAATCATTGCATAAAGGTAAATTATTTACAAATAAGGAAAGAGGTCATTCTTTTTTGCACGGACTAAAAATGAAATAAGTTCACATAAATTGAAACAGAGGGAGTACTATATAATATATGAAATAGGATATTTCGTTTCAAACTTAGGACCCGTTTGACCATAAGAAAATTTTTACTTTTTTCGATAAAATTGTACTTTTTTTTAATCATTATTTGGCCACAAAAATTTCAAATTTCACTTGAAGTTAAATTTTTGAATTTTGCAAAAATTTAAAAAACTCCAAAAAACTATTTTTTAAAATTTTCACTTCAAATCACTCAAAAAAATTAAAAAACAGTTCAAAATTATATTCATGTCCAAACACAACTCTAATTTTCAAATATTATTTTCACTTAAATATTTTTTTATTTTTTATTTTTCGAAATTTCACAATTCCAATGTCCAAACGCCCACTTAGGAAGAGAAATACGTAAAATTTAAAAACCATCGAAGTATTATTGTGGGTCTCACATCCGTTATTTCCCATGGGCAAACAAGGGTAAGTAAGTTAGTTTAACAACTAATAAACCCCAGATTAAGCCCACAAAGCAAGCTTAACAAGAAAGGAAAAGAATATTGTAAATAGCTGTACAAATTTCCACAATTTGTGTGGGGGTTTGCGCAAAATCAAATTTATCTCCCTCTCTCTCTCTCTCTCTCTCTCTCTCTCTCTCTCTTTACATTTTTCAGTTTTTGCTCTGTTCAATTCGAATAGCTAGGGTTTTTGTTATGGGGCAACAATCGTTGATCTACAGTTTCGTTGCGAGAGGAACGGTGATTTTGGCTGAGTATACAGAGTTCACTGGGAATTTCACAAGTATAGCATCGCAGTGCCTCCAGAAACTTCCTGCTTCCAATAACAAATTCACTTACAATTGTGACGGCCATACTTTCAACTACCTCGTTGATAACGGCTTCAGTGAGTTTTTTCGTTCTCTGTGTGTGTGTGTGTGTGTGTTTTGATCTGTCAGTAAAATGGTTTGACTAGTCCGTTATCTATGATTCAGTGAGTCTATATGTAAATGTTTATGTGTTTGTGTGTGTGTGATTTTACTGATCCGTTATCTATGATTCTCTGCTTGTTTGATCCGATGACTATTTTATAATGATCAGTTTCATTTTCATATAAAACAAGTCGTTTTCACTTCTTGTTGACTGTTTTTGGTTTAGGATAAGTAGCCTCTAGATCTTAGTCAAATATCGAAAGATGATCAATTTGTGGCTTTGAATTTGAGATAATGCAGAATTTTGGTTTGGATCTCTTTCATTTCATAAACTATTTGCAAATAGGGAAACTGACCGTCATAATAAGGATATGAAATTTTTACTTGAATTCACTTTTTGATAATTTGGACCAGTCTTTTTGGTCTCCTTTGTTAGAATCTACAGATATTTGCCATTGATTATGCTGTTTAGCTAGCATAGATGACAAAACATTTGAGTCATTACTCATTATGTTGATATCTAATGCGTGACTTTATCTACTTTCAGTATTAAGTTGAGATAATTGTATGGAATGTGCATTTCAAGAATTGTTCGAAATGTGAACTGATACTTAGCACCTTTTAAATTCAAAATTATGAGAAGGCACCCAGGCTTGATTGCTTATCTAATTTGTGCTCTTCCTTCAAGTGAGTCATGGAATGTGACAAAATGCAAATCTTGCATAACACACATAAATTTAGCTTGTTGGATTACCGATTGTTATGGAGGCTAAATAGTATGTTTCAACATACTATACAGAATCTGAGATTTTACTTTTTCAAAATTTGGATGGATATGAAAAAGAAGTTATTTGGACAGATTATTGTTTCACTTGTATCAGGAGAATTTTCATCTATCTGACTATCACATGATATGTGTATTATTGAACGAGGATATAAGGAAAAAATTTTACTTATAAAAAAAGAAGATATACATAAAAAATTCTGATGCAACGTTGTGAAAGTATGAGACTAATTTCTTGAAGGTTTCTCTTAAAGTATTTATTTTCTTAAGATACTGGTGTGCATTTACCTCATTACTTAAAATGATGATGGCTACATGACAATCTGATATGCAATACACCATTGACAAGCTGTTGTTTGTTTTTTGGCAATTGTCATGCTGATGAGCTTTATTTTGTACAAACAGCATACTGTGTTGTAGCTGTGGAATCTGTTGGCAGACAGGTCCCAATTGCATTTCTGGAGAGAGTGAAGGATGATTTCACCAAGAAATATGGTGGAGGCAAAGCTGCTACAGCTGTTGCTAACAGCTTGAACAGGGAGTTTGGGTACTTTCCATTCTCTAGTTCCCTCTTTTTAAGTATGAAAGCAAATGTCATAACACCGTAATAACTACAGGCCCAAAATGAAGGAGCAGATGCAATACTGTATTGATCATCCAGAGGAAATCAGTAAGCTTGCGAAGGTGAAGGCCCAGGTTTCAGAAGTTAAAGGTGTGATGATGGAAAACATTGAGAAGGTAGAGAATAGTCCCTCTGTATTATATGGTTTTTAAAAGACTTGATGTCCTGATGTGGAACTAGAAAGCAGTGAGAGTTCAAGAAACCGTATTGTAGTTTGTTGATGAGAATTGTGGCCTTGCAGGTCCTGGATCGTGGGGAGAAAATTGAACTTCTGGTGGATAAAACTGAGAATCTTCGCTCACAGGTTTGAATCCGATGAAATTCTTTGTGTCTTTTGGTGGATAAGACTTTTCTATATCCTAATTCTAAAAATTGTTAGTCTTGAAGTGTTGATGACAAAGCACTATTGCTAGTTTATATGAATAGGAGCTGCTATCATACTTTTCTATTTTTAATCAGAATGCCAGCTAGTTTAGTAAATTTTGAAGTGGTCCAGATATATCCAGTTCCTTACTGAATTTGATATGTAATGATGCAGCTATGATTCATCAGTTGGTAGCTTTTGATATCCACTGTTGAGCAATCATTTTCGTTGTTCTACCAGTTTTATGTATTGCTAATAATCACTTTGTCTGAAGTGTAATTTTAGTAGCAAACTGTAGGTACTTGAGTTATTCTGCTCCTGCATGTTGGAATTTGGAACCCCTGATTTGTTGGTGCATCATAACACCTTAAGTTGTATCTTTTTTTCCCTGTTCGTCATTGGACTTGTATCTGCTTTGTGTTATTGTTTACTCGTTTGCTGTCATTTGAACAAAAATTATAGGGGTTTCTGAAAGAGTATTATATCGCAGGCACAAGATTTCAAGACACAAGGAACGAAAGTCAGGAGAAAGATGTGGTTGCAGAACATGAAAGTAAAGCTTATAGTCCTGGCAATCATTGTTGCCTTGATTCTGGTCATAGTTCTTTCAATATGTCATGGCTTCAAATGTCATTAATTGGGGCTCTTTTTTCTTATCATGCCGGTTATTGAACTCAAAATTCTTAATTTTTCTAGCAGTAGCCTGCCCGTTCTTTGTAATTCGTGTCTTTTTTTTTTGGGTGATACATTTTGCTTTATGCTTGTGGACGTATGATGAACAGTGCATGTATAGCTTGTCATGCTGAAAACTGACTGTACTACCGAAAGCTTCTCCTTAGGAGCTCATTAGGTCACACGATTTTAACGTGAATTAAACTTTTGAAATATCTGAAATTGAAAGACCCAGTGGAAATAGTACATATTACACGCTTGAAATGCTCTATTTTCTGCCTGCCATTTATGCCTGACTGCCTTGTAACAATTTAATAGACAATATCAATCAACTACTAGTATTTATTTGTGGCCATAATTCTTTTTTGGAGGGTGGGGTTTGGGGCGGAAAGGGTAGCGGAGGCTGTTTCCCTTTTCTTTTCTTTTTTTGTAATGATCGAGAGTATCTGTCTGGGGCTAACTCCTAGGAACAACAGCACCTTTTTTGGTTCTTTTCGTCTTTTTGAATGTTGAAAACTTTTCCCTTTTTCAAATATAGAGGAATTTTGGGCGTCTTTATTGACATTGTTTCTTGTTAACAGAAACTACGGTTATCTTCGTCTAATGTTAGTGTAGTTTTGAGTTAGGCGTAGGTGGAGATAAGGTCGCGAGGACAAATTGAGTGGATTTGAGTTTTCATTAATGAATAATGGTCTCTCTCTTGGTTCGTATTGTATCATATCTTCTACTACTATTTACTTAGCAAATACGAATAGAATAGCTAACTTCACTTTCAAAGTTCCAACAGCTATTACGACGTGTTTATATTTCAAGCTTCACAATGTGGTATTTGCATCAGTCAAGAATTTCTAAAGGCTTTGCGAAGCTATAGAGTTTTTGATATATCAAGGACTCCCTTGAAATGTTGCAAATAACATTCGCAAGGAATTACCTAAAACCTTAAAAAAAGAAGAAGGATTTAGGTATCTCAAACGTTGAAATACATGGTTTGACGCAAAACTTCATTATAAAGAAGAAAGCCCTGTTGAGAATCAAAAACAAATTTTGTAAAAAATAAGCGGGAAATATAGATGATGGGCACTTGTTAATAATATTAATCTAAGATTTATATTATCGAGGGCAAACGAATAATGAACCTAATGAACTGGAACATTCTAAGGAGTCATATTTAACCTTATTAGAGATATGGTCTTTTGGGAAATCGTCATCTTGAGATCTCAGGGCCAAATATTTGAAGATAGAGATTATCAAAACAGAAATAGAAATTCAAAATTATGAAAAGAAAGAAATGACTAGGACATCTTTAGATAAACAAAAGAATATGTTCTAACTGAATAAATACAGCAAAGCATCTGTAACCAGTGAATTGAACAGACAGTTTTCAGATATTGACAACTTGAACTTGGCTTCATTGAGGATATATATGCCTAGCCCACATAACATGATGCTGAAAAACAAAACAATCTCTACGCAACAACTCATTGATGCAACAAGCCACAATTTCATCTTTTTTAGATAGACTGGACAGAAAGAAAATATGCCAAGGCAAGCATTTTTAGGTATAGCAAACTAGAGATCCAATCCACAACTATGCCTGGTTGTGGTTGCTACCACCCCTTGGACGGTTGCCCATCCGTCCACGGCCACGACCATAACCATAACCCCTGCCACCTCCACCCCTGCCTCTTCCATAACCAGAGCCTGATACCGCACAACATACAAATATTCAGCACCAAATGCATTAATATAACATGATACAAGGTAAGTAAGGTGACAAAAACAAGACGAGGTATCCATGCTGTGCATACTTACCACGATATCCCCAGCCACCACGACCCCCACCTCGTCCCCAGTTTGAGTTCCCACCATTTTCTATCAAAAATAAAAATGTGGCATACATTGAGTACAAATAAATTCCAGAAGTGTTGAGCACGAAGCATAAAAATTTCTTCAGCTAAGGAGGAATACCTTGATAGTTTGTATAACCATCTTGATAATTTGTATATCCGCCTTGATTATTTGTATATCCGCCTTGATTATTTGGATATCCGCCTTGATTATTTGGATATCCACCTCTGCTCCAACCACGCCCCCTCCCTCTACCACGGCCTCGCCCTCGACCATATGAATCTAAAACCGAGTTATGGTAATATCAGATGATGTAGCAAACTTTCACATGAATCACTTTCCCATAATTATTCTGTTTGCAGGTCATTACCTTCATTACCAGCATTGTAGACTGCTCGCGCTTGTCTAGGTGGTGGTTGCTGCTGTTGAGGCTGGTAATTATACCGTGGGGCGTAGTTGTTGTTGTAGTAGTTGTTGTTATAATTAGTCTGCTCAGTCTCAGAAGGTGCTTGATACCTAGGAACATGAACTTACATAAGATGTTCTAACAAACAAGCTACCACATAGAAAATAACAAGGCTACAAGGAAACAATTTCAGTCGGAAGACTCAAAAAGATAAAGCAACGATCACAATACTGCGTAACTCAAATAAAGTATCTTAAAATTGTTCTCAAGTGAGAATGTTAAAATCTGAAAGAACATCCTAATATAAATGTATAGCAAAGAGTTACCCTGGAGAGTTGTTGTTCAGTTCCTTCGTTGACAAGGTGATTGAAATCATTGAGACATGCCGAGTCTGCTCCACACTTTTACAAAGAAAACCAACATTCAAGAATCAGAACCCCAACTATGCAATTTGCACTCAATTGGAGAATAGAAGGTAAATCTTAGTATTATCCCACATGATAGGCAGTTATGCACCTTACACCTAACATGCACTGAAAAACAAATGAATTTAGAGAAAGCTAGCAAGACTTGAAACTTACGGCAAAAGGCCCTCTTCAATAGGTTCCCATACATCTGTTATGCTTACTGAGCTGATAGCAGTGTCTTGATGCAGGCGAGGAATTCTTCTCTGAAAGAGAATAGAACATTGAGTTACATCTGAATATGGCAATATAGAAAGTGCACTGGAAGAAAAAACAAAACAGGCAAGCTACCTTAATGATCTCTGCAATAGCTACAGTCTTGCTTATTGCCTGACCCATTGCTTTCAAAACAATCTCTTTTCCACGCTTCTCCTGAATAGCCGTTAGTCATTAGAAATTTCTATTAGCCACTACTAACAAAAAATACTACAGTTTCCATCAGACCTCCCACCAAAAACATGAGAAGGAAATAATGTCCATAGCAGCTTAGACCTCAACCTTGGGGATGGATTATGAATTAGCAGAAAATCATACAGCTACAAGTACATCTTGCTTGAATGTAGGGCAAAAATAAAAGCAATTCAAGATAGGAAACACACAAGAAAGATTCTTAGAGCCAATAACAGACCACAAGTATTCTAATCTGCATCTACAAAGAATATTAATAATTACAGAAACTCTCTCCATTTTACCATTCATCTGCTGCAACACAGGGAATCAACATTCATCTTATGTTACATTGAAAAGTAGATTGATTTAGCTCACCTACAACTCAGTTCTGGCTTAATATTCAAAGCGACTAATATATAGTATGGCACTCAATTTTATCAAATAAAATCATCAGAACGGTACCATTTGTTATCTACTTCGAGCTTGGGCTCAGCCAATTTCCATCAAGTTAGTAGTTCATAGCATAATCCTAGAAACAGAAAGCATAAACCACACTACGTCATTGTCATACCATTAGTTCCATTATCATTCCCCAGTTCAGCCAAACTCCAGAAATATAGAAAGAACCTCAATCCAAATATTACAGTTTTAACAACTTGCATATAACAACAACTACTACAACACCTCAGTCCCATACAAGTTGGTGTCGGCTATACAAATCCTCACTGACCACGTTACAAGGACTCATACATGAGAAATAAAACTCCTAGCAATCAGCCAACCATAATAAGACCTCAAGGAATGACAATATGACTCCGCAATGGTTTAATTTATCATACCCGCAACATAATGCAAAATAGTTCTCACGAAACCAAATCATCAGCCTAGTGGTCAATGAAGTGGGAGGAGAGCGGTGAGTTCTAATGTTCAAATCTCAACGGAGGCAAAAAAACATTAGGTGATTTCTTCTCATTCGACTAAACCTTGGTTGACAGAGTTACTTATACTGAGTTAGCAGGTACCTCTACCAACAGTACTAATAACAACAAACCCAGTGTAATCCCACATAGTGGGGTCTGGGGAGGGTAGTGTATATGCAAATCTTACTAGAGAGGTTGTTTCCAATAGAAACTCGGGAAGCCTCGAGCCGGTACTTCTATCATTAAAAAAAAAAGTACCCATGAATCCAATCATTCAATCAAATATGCCTCAATCCCAAATTAGTCAGGTCAGCTCTACGAATCCTCTGTATCTATTCCAACCCATAAATACATTTTTTTTCAAATGAGAAAGCAAACTGCATTCTGTCCACCAATGGAAACCCATAAATACATGCAAAGTTATGGTATACAGAATAACACAGTGAAAAATGCAAAAAATAAAAATAATAAAGGGCCAAATTAATATAAAAAAAGAATAACAGAAAGAGAGTGAGTGATACCTGAAGAAGACTAGTGGCATAGCTGATGTAATTTCTAACAAGTCCCTGTGAAGTGATTCGGATTTCATTCTCGTTAATCGGTATTTCTGGTTTCGGTTTCGGTTTCGCTACTTTTTGGTATCTATCCATTGAGAAACAAACCCTAAACTTCTTTCGTCCTTTGGTATTTTGTTGTGAGAAACAGAGGGGGAAAACTGTAAACCCTTAACAGAAACAGCGGCAGCAGCGAATTGTTTGCAATTACGTGAATCACATTTTTAAATTGGATTTCCATTTTTGGGCTTACTTACTGTCAGGCCCAATTTTACAGGGTCTCGAAGTTCTAGAAAGTGCGTGAGAATCATGAAATACTCTACCTGTAAGCTGAGCTCTGGATTATATTCAGGCCTTTTTTACGGAGTGAAGTCCATCTTGTTTTACCTAAACCCAGTGAAAATAGCATGTGCTGGTCAGTACTCGGATTGATAATTGAAAAATAGTCATTATTTATAAGGTTATTAAAAAATAATTATTATTTTATACAGATATTAAATTTGAACAAAATTACCTTAGCTGAAACACGGAAAGTTCCACCGTAATATGTTGGATTATGAAACTTCTACGTATAAACTTCCAGCATACTATATTGGAACTACAACACATTATGAAATTCCAGCACATTATGCCGGAATCTCATACGTATGTAAAAAATTCGAACTCAAGCATATTATGCTGAATTTTTTTCGAATTTTTAAGGGTATTTTGGTTCAAATTTTATTTTTACATGAAAAAATAATTAAATTTTAATTATTTTTAAAATTATGGCTAATTTTTAATTAGTATTTATAAATCAGGCTATTTTTATTTTTTTTCCCCTAAACCTACGCTATTTTCTATTTTTCTTTTGAGTTTTTAATATATTTGATAGGTTGGCCAAAAGTATATTACAGTCACTAATCAAATATATAAGAAATATACAATGTGTATAAAAATGTATTATATATACTGATATATTAAAAGTATATATTTATCAAGGGTGAAATTAAAAAATAACCAAATTTACAAGTGGTAATAAAAAAATTGTCATAGTTTCAAAAGTAGTCGAATTTTAGCCACTTTTTTATGTAAAGATAAATATGAACGAAAACATTATTCAAAATTCGAAAAATATTCCAGCATAATATACTAGAGTTCGAATTTTTTACATGTGAACTTCCAGCATAATATACTGGAGTTCCAGCATAATATGCTAGAAGTTCATACACAGGTGCTCCAATCTCCAATATATTGCTGGAACTTTCCGTGTTGCAGCAAAATAATGGTTATTTTTCAATGACTTTACAAACACTAGCTATTTTTCAATTACGAGTCCCAAAACTGGTTAGCCCGTGCTATTTTCACATTTGTCAGCTCTTGTTTTAGAATTTAGAAGATGGCTACACTGGGTAAAAATTCCTTTTCTTTCTATTCTCATTGGACACGCCCTACTAATTTTCCCACATTTCGCTTTTAACCATTTTTTTTTTTTGGCCATAAACTAACCAAATCATACTAGTAATTTCACAGGTAACCCTCTTTCTGCATTATGACAAACTCACTCAAACTATACGAACCTACACTTACAATAGATTATAGAGTTTCTGCACATATAAGTATCTTCGCATGAGGCTCGTTCAAGGAATGTCTCATACGAATAGACCACAATTATATTATGATAACAACCACTTAATCGATCTGGAGGAAAGCCTCTAATGCTCGCGTTTTATGGGAATTTTTTTTGACTATTTATCTTTATCAAAGTCGGAAGTAAAAGGCGAAAAACCGAGAACTAGTTAATAGAGGATGCTTGATTATGGTTTGAGCTTCCTTGGCTTATGAAGGTAAGTCAAAGCGCAACAAAAGCCTCTAAAAATAGCACGGGCTAGTAAGTTTTCGGACTGTTAATTGAAAAATAGTCAGTGTTTGCAAATTCATTGAAAATAAGCCACTATTTTACTGCAACACGGAAAGTTTCAACATAATATACTGGAGATTCATGCACCTGTGTATGAACTTCCAGTATATAATGCTGGAACCCGAGCACACGGAAAGTTCCAGCATAATATACTGGAGATTGAAGCACTTGTGTATAAACTTTCAGCATAGTATATTTATACTGGAACTCCACCATAATATACTGGAGTTCCTGCATAATATACTGGAACTCCAGTATATTATGTTGGAAGTTCATATGTAAAAAATCCGGTATATTATGCGGGAATATTTTTTAGATTTTGAACAGTATTTTCGTTCAGATTTATCTTTACATGAAAAGTGGCTAAATTTCGATTACTTTTGAATCTGAGATTATTTTTCAATTAACACTTGTAAATCTGGCTATTTTTGAATTTCACCTGGAAAGCCTTAGCCAAAACAATAGCCAGAGAAGCAAGAGCAGCAAGGCAAAAAATAATCTTAAATATTCCAACTGCATGAACTTAATACTTAAACCAAGTAAACGATAGTTGGTGAGTTTGTTTGGAGTCGAAGATAGAATAGCAAGATTATATAATTTAAAAAATTTAAGGATGTTTAAATTTAAAAGAAGTGAAAATTTTTTCCGATAAAGGGTGTTTAATACGTGTTATATAGCTCTATTACGTAATATTTTATCTATATACACAATACAATTTTCCGACGAAGGGTAGTCTATGACCATGTGGCTTCGCCACTGCAAGTACTTACAGCCTATTAGGCCAAGCTGCAAAAATCAACTTATTTTGAGAAGTATTTTTTCTTAATAGTGTTTTTCTCAAAAGTACTTTTGATGAAAAGCATTTTGTGTTTTGATAATTAATTTGAAAAATGCTTCTGAGTAGAAATTAGTATTTGGCCAAACTTTTAAAAACTGCTTCTAAGTATATTTTTCTCAAAAGTACTTTTCAAAAAAAATACTTTTGGAAAAAAATTACTTTTTCTGCTACTCCAAAATTGCTTCTACTTCTCCTCAAAAGCATTTTTATTTCTTCCAAAAGTACTTCAACTTTGAAAAAAAAAATACTTCTATTCTTGATAATGGGTATTTATTTTTGATTATGACTTTGTTGAGTTGTCGGTAATCAATACACATACATAGTGACTCATCTTTCTTCCTCACAAAGAAAACCGGTGCGCCCCATGGTGACACACTTGGTCGGATAAAACCCTCCTCTGACAAATCCTTCACTTATTCCTTACCCAAAGGAGATTTGAGGTATAATTGTACGGCGTCCGCAACTCTAAAGTCCCCTTCTACTATTCAGACTATTCCACCAAAATGTCTGCTCTTTATCAAACTTAAATTCTTGCACCCCGAAGAATGTTATCAAGGGAAACATTTGAACAAAAGCTAATCACTCTATGAAACTTACTAGCAAGTAGCAATTGCTGACAAATTAGGCACTTTCCTCCAGCTACACTTCCCAAACTCATTTCCAAATTCACAAACACAAGCAGGGTAATTCTTGTGATGCTCTTCATTGTACACATAAATAATATTCCCCAATCCAACACATTTTAAACTAGCAAATTTGTCATCCTCTTCACTATCAAACAAACAATACATCAATTCTTGTGGCATTATAGCAATTTCACTAAACTCCATTGTTTTCTCATCAACTTTCCAAAGTATAAAATTTGGTCCATTTGGTAAATTGCATAATCCACCTAAAACTAAACAATCTTGACATGAAACCAAGAATGAAAACAAAATCCCAGGTGGTCTAAGTGTTTGAACCTCACTCCACAAACGTTTGTCCAAATCAAAATATGTAATAAAACAAGAATATATCCCAAAAACATAGAATTTCCCTTTCAATAAAGCTGAACATAACCATTGTGATGAATTACCTGACCTAAAATCAGCTGGTAAACGTGGACAAAGTTCCCAAAAATCCAAATTTGGATTATAAATTTCCACAGCAAAACGGTCCTCAATTTCAACTAATCCACCAACAAATCTAACACCACCTACAACAATAAATCTTGGTTCTTGATTTAACCCATCTTTGTAATAAACACCAACAAGAGGATTACACCTAGAGAATTTCAAAGGACTAGTTTGAACCCAAGTGCCATTGAGAATTGGCTTAAAGCTGAAATTTTGAGAAGATGTAGCAAAGAAAAAATCATTTGAACCAATAAAGAAATCTTGGGATAAAAGGGTTGAAGTGGGAAGTGTAATCCATTCATTTGCATCAGGGTCAAAAGCATAAGCTTGGTTATTTTTTATAAAAATGTTGTTTTGGCCACAGAGAAAAAGCCATGGTTTTTTTGTAGCTGAGATTCTGGTGGTAAATGAAGAAGAGGTGATTATAGAATTCCAGTTTTTGCATACAGAGGAAGCAATAACTATAGAACGAATTGGGAGGTAAGAGAGGATTTTTCTGTAATATCTGAACAAAGATTATCCCATTTCTTGAATGTATTGTCATTTTTTGAATCCATATTTTCTTCAAAGAAAAGTTTTTTGGTAGAGGGTTTTTTAAAAGATAGATTTTTTGGGTGAAATATTTAGGATTATGCCGACAGAATATGAAGGGAAGTGTAAGAAATGGAAGAGGAGGAAGGGAAGAAATGGTGAATTTGTTTTGTTATTTTTGTTGGATAGTAACAGAAGAGAAATATAAAGACGAGAAAATTTAAGACCTTAGTTTTGGAGTTTACTATAATGACATAGTCTTGTGGGTCGTGTTATTTGATTAGTCCGTCACTTTTTGTCTCATTTGTGAATCAACCACTATTAACGAAGATCTCAATGAAAATGTCTAAAAATATCCAAAAGAATTAACCCAAATAGCCGATGGAAGTGTAATATATATATAATTTATGTATATATATATATATATATAATTATGTATAATTAATATATAATTTATGTATATGCTAAAATAAATAAATAATTAATATGACCGGCTATTTATGTAAAGATTCCTAATATCTATCATGGGGATTCACCATATAAAATGGTGGACCCAAAATTAGCGGAGGTACCGAATAAAATTTTGAGTAAATGCAAGAATGCATATCGAACCAAGACAACATACTAAAAGTCAAGTTGTGCCATCCAAATCAACCAATATAATTGTCTAACTTTTGAGTTTTAAGGTGCATATATATTATTTAAGATATATACATATATACATAAAAAATTTCTGAAGTTAGCTGGGGCGCTGATCTTCCTACCCTAAGGGTAGATCCACCACTATATACAATGGTTTATGTAATCATTCATAAAAAGTGAAATTAATAATACATAAAACTTTATAAGGAACCTGCAATGGTGGTATTACTTGGTTTTTAGCTGTAAAATCACAAGATGGATTTATAGGGAAAAGTTGCAAAAGAATCATAATCCATTTCCTTTAGAGGGTTGTAAATGATTGTGTCAATAAGGTCTTTCATTACAAATTACTAAGTTAAGACTAATGCATTGCTTACTTATTGTTTGCGTTACAAAGTCTTAATGTCATATTAAATGCTCTTTTAAATAGCAAGAAGATTAAAACTATTCAACTTTAGGATGAGAATCAACTACAATATGTAACAGTTATACTGAGAATATATGTCCAGTTCGATTTTTGATAGGAGTTACCCGTAATAAAAGCTTGTTATTTGAATTTGTTTATCATTTAAAAAGGTTGTCGTACATAACCCTGCTTCACCTTACTTGTTACGTATTAACAAAGGCGGATCCAGAATTTAATATTTATGGGTTTCTGCAACAATCTCGAATAAATTTTTAATAGTAACTGGGTTCACATTCAAATGGTTATAGATATCTAGTGAATTTTTCGAACACATTTACACTATTTGAACAAAAGTTATCGAGTTTACGTAAACCCGTAGATCGCAAGGTGGATCCGCCCCTGTGTATTAAATGCTGTTGAGGTTTTAATTTTTAAGATGAAATAGTCTTAAAATGAGGATGAATAGGAAATAGAGGGAAAATAAAATTTTTGAGTAAAATTTTAAGTTTCCCCCTCTTGACAATGAGACATTGTCCCATATTGGAAGAAGAAGAGATTTTTGGTGGGTATATATATAATTGCTCTTCTTGTAGCTCTTAAAGAGTTAAGAAGAAAACAAGCCTCGCGCCGTCGTCGTCGTCGCTCGCTCGGCTCGGCTTCGGCT